GATAATTTTAACATGTATATTAAAAGTAAAATTAAAAAAAATATTAATTAGATATATAAAGGAGAAACATGAGACGGACGCATCACGGGTAAATTATTTAATCCATATTCGTTATATACATATTTCATATTTATAATATTTTACCCATATCAAAACGTAGCTCATTAATTATGAATTTTTAATTATTTTATATACAATTGATTGAGGTAAATTAACGGATAACATATTTCTATGCTCGTCTTTAATGGAAATCATGTATTACGAAATAACTATGTCTTTAATTACATAAGAGTAAAGTTTGAATTCTTTCAACGAAATATTGGAGGGAAAGTTCATTCAAAAGTTTGTGTAATTATCTATAAAGCATTTTTTATATGAATGTACATATATATATGTATATTTTTTTTTTTCCCAAAGAGAATAGTTATCCAAGGTAGGCTTTCTGTCTCAATTCTTGGGGACCATTTAGATTTTTAATTTGGTATTCATTTGTAATGGAAACATTTCTAATTTTGACATTTGGTATACATTTCTATACAAAGATGTCTTTGCATTTTAGCATCAATCACTTCAATTTGATATTACCTTTCTTGTTTTGGATCTTGCATTTCACCATATTCATTTTCATTTGTTGGCCTCACAATCTATTTTTAGGTTCTTGAAAACTAAAATTTTCAGCTTTCAAGAGACACATTTTTATAGATTTAAGTATATATATTTATTTCTTGTCAATTATGAGCCAAGAATACTAATTCTTAGGTAATGAAGCATTAGGTGTGCCTCTTTTTGTCTCAATTATGTAGGAGGGAGTTGATCTTGCAATATATATTTTTGCTCAAGTCGGACTAATTTTATTGTACCTAAGTTATAATATCATATTTTTTCTTTTTTTAAAAAAATTTTATTTCTTATATATTTTTTAAGTTATAAAGATTATTAGTTGCAGAACTTAATTAAGTTTATAAATTTTGTGATATACGATAAAAATTTTTGCATAAAAATAAATTATACGGTATTGATCACCTGATTACAAGATATAGGAGTGCAATTTGTAATGATATTTTAACAATATTTTACAAAATCAAAAATATCATCAGGTAATAAACTGAATTCTTTTAAATGTCCGTACTACGAATTGAGTACTTTGAAAAATCCTTGTGCATCCCCTTTAAAAATTATATTCTGTATACTTCTATCTTGTGTACTTTCACACTACACGTAAACGAGATTTGCTTCATTATAATAAAAGCAATCATATATCAAAATCTTCAAAAAATGGCTCCCATCCCCTTCCAACCATCCGTTAGAAGCAAAGTATTTGTATTTAGTTTAACGTATGGAGCCAAGAAGCCTAAGAAGTAGGTTGAAGAGGTTAATGAATGAATTGTTCAACTTTGCAAAGGATTGCAATATATTTGTATGGTACATAAAACTTATTCATACTAGTCTTCTACCTTAATGTATAAAGTAGGAGCTATGATAATAAAAAAGATACTATAGAATTAGTTCTTAAACCATTACTGTTATTTTAATTTCTTTTTTAACAAAAAAAAAAACGTAATATAAAATTTTAATTTATTGTAATTACTAAAATTAAAAAAATTTAATTTTTATGATTTTTTTTTATAATATATAATAAATTTATTTATATTTAATCTAAATTTATAACTGCAACTTTACCAATCACGTTAGTGAATTAAGTAATTAGTTTTACTAGTTAAAATATTATATATCTGACACCATCAGTTCATATATACTCACAAAATAAGTAACAATCATTCGAACTCATAAATTTTTGAGTAGTCATGTTGTTGGTTATTGATAATTTTTACTTTTTGATGGAAATAGTTATGCTTTTTGATAACAGGATGGAACACGAGTGTGTATATATGTTACTGTATAAACTGGGAGCCATACTAATTGATAAAAACCCATCTTCTTTATATCCTCAAGTCGGCCAAGTAAAGTAAATAAACAGGAATAAAATAGGGTGTGTAACGCTTCTGAAAAAAGTAGACATGGGTGCAAAATAGTGTACTTTAATTTCTCATAAAAAAGAAGGTGTCTAGATAGAACAAGGTGATCATGATCATATCTTTTCTATGTTTTCTTGAACTGGTACCTATACATGCATATATACATAAATAATATTGTGCGTTAAAGATGATAAAATCGAGGAAAAAATGTATCCGCTGAATCCCTGGTGCTTAATATCTCAGATATACGAAATCTCTCTGTTGAGTGGTCTTTGAAAGAAAGTCCGTATAGAGATGTTTAGCCTTCGATGCCTCTTAATTAATCATTTTTCGAGTAATTATACACAACCACAAATGAATAAGAGGAAACCACATATCAGATCTTTATATGGATGTATATAAAGTTAATTCGATTGCATGTAATTGAGAGTCTCTCTATATGTATACATGCGTTTGCGTGTGTAAATATATATATAAGGAATTCATCAAAGGGCACTCTTGAGGACTGAAAGTTATAAAGCAAACCCTAATAAACGAGAACTGCACTTGCAGACGGGTGTAGTTAATTACTAAGAAATTAATGTCGATTATTTTCTGAACTACATTAAAAAGCATATTGCAAATGAGTAGATGAATTATTTCACATATTGAGAAGAAGAACACATGCTATGTATATGAAATATTATTTGATCATATCATATCAATAATATTTCATATGCATGAAACTTTAACTCGCAGATCTATAGAAGTACACACAAACATACATATTTATACATCCAATTAACCTTTACTCCTTAGCAACAAGAACACTTTTTGAGTTTATGTAGGAGATAGAGAAAGATAGAGATCATACATACATATCTATATATATATATATGTATATAAATAAATAAACAAGGTAAGAAGCAAGATATATTAAGCCAAAACCCAAGAAGCTAGAGTGATACAAGTAGAGATAGGTAGTACAAGTAAACTAAATAAGAGATGGTGAATGAAATATAAATAATATATGGTGGATCTAGGAAATAGTCGGACCAGGATGCTTGATTCCCCAAAAGAAAATTTAAAAGAACACGGAATGGATGAAAAAGTGTTTGGGAAAAGAGAAAACAGATCATCCCATATCGGCTCAAAACAAGTAATTATGATTTAAACTTGAAGGAACATGGAATCATGGATCTTACTAATTGAGCCAGCTGCTCCGAGGTGGTGGCCATGTCCATGTGCATGTTTGTTCTTGCTGTTTTGTGGATGGTAATGATGGATTGTCGTAAAAGGAAGAGGAGAAGTGGTGGTAGTAATGATGGTGAAAGAGAAAGAAGTTGGAGAAGACATGATGAAAGATAAGAGAATTCAAGGGTTTTTGTGCTCATCCTCTTCTTCCCTTTCTCTTTCTCTATCTCTCTCTCTCTCTCCTGTGTCTGACACAGAGTGAGAGAGAGAGAGAGAGAGTGGGGAGTGGGTGATGATGATGATGAGAACTAGGGCTACATATTATATATATATATATATATAGACGTGTATATATATGTTAGGTCTAATCCGGGTAATGGCGCGTGCAGGCTAACCTCTAAAGGTGATGAAAAATTGGCTTCATGTTTGTTGCCGGTATGATAAAAGGCACTTTTCAAGTTACAAGCCCGGTAAAAAGATAATCCTGGTTTAGTGCACTTGCCTTTTTTAGCTTATGGTAATTCTGAATATAATTGTTATTTGAACACAGAAATTAATAAAGTTAACAAAAAAACAATATTATACACGGTCTCTCTTTTTCAAGCTTGGGAATAAACCGAGTCTGACTCTACGGGACAAGTAAAGTAAACTCACTTTAAATTTATTAGTATTTTAATTTTGTAAATTTAGTATATACTAACGCTCTAAATTATAATATAGAAAAATGTATAGTTGTTAAATTATATTATGTTTTTGTATGTATAAAAATTGAGAATTTAGATGGGAATTCACCAAACAATGTGCATCACCTAAATTATTTGTATTTGCATTATAATTTTAATGTATTTGCATCACCTAAATTACTTTGATTAGTTTAAAAATATTTTTTGACATTAAATTGAAAGAAGAAGAAGAAGAGGAATTTGCGAGATGGAAACAATTCCCATTTAAGGGAACATCATCTTTGACCCGTTGCTACTAATTTCTCTACTTAAACTCCGATCATTAATCTAACTCCCCCGCCACCAAGGTTGAATTATATTATTCAACTCATGTTGAATTACAATTTATAAATGTCAATAAAAGCTCTACTTTCTATGATTCGTAAAAACATTTAACGCACATTTTATAATACTTTCCATCACAAGTAATTCCAGTTCAAACACTGACCCATCGCTTCGGATACACATACATACATACATACATATATATATGTATATATACATAAGTTGAACTTGAACTTCAAAAGCCATTTTTAAGTCAAATATACAAAACAAATCGCGAGAAAAGCGCATGTACGGTCGAACCAGACAACTCCACTGGGAGCTTTTACTTGAATATTCAACGAGCTTCCTGTGTAACAAGGAATTTGCACAAGCACTCGTGTATGGTGCCATGATTTCTCATCAACAAATATGCACGAGAGATTTTTTCTTCTTAGTAGATATTTTACAGTCATATCCTGTAAATTTGCATTCATTTCAGAATGTCTTAACACAAATCCTCTACTCCTGTTACATGGTATGTACAAACAGGAAGCTAGATTTATTAGATCAATAAAACTAAAATCCGGTGACAAAGATTTCCATGTTAGAAAACCTCGAAGACTACCAATTTCCCTTCGTCAATTTCACTGAGATGGCTAGAGGTAGCTTTACCAGAGACCATTAAATAAGACTCAAGGAAGGACCCAAACCATTAGCCTCAAAACACCATAAACCATCTGATCTTGATACCTTTTCTTGGGCACAAATTAAGGAGGTGGCAAGAAAATAATTTTCAGGGTTCAGATAAACAGCATATAAACCTTAGCTTCCCGCCCGCTGAGCTGCTTCCTCCTGGCAGTCCAGTCCGCATTCAAGTTTGATGGCTGCAATGAGCTCAGGAGACACAAAGGGCCGACCATTGTCCTCTGATGTGATCCCTGCATCTCTTTCTTTGTTATAACGATAGCCAGGTCCAGCTCCTGCACCCCAACCCCTATATAGTATGACTTTGCTAGGCTCCTGAGAGACTAGAACTCCACCAGTGGCTTCCTGTTAAAAATAGGTAGAAAGGAAAGTTTACGGCATTTTAGTTGAAGTTAAAACAAGCACAAGTAGAATGGATTTTGCACAGCCAGACCTGCAGCTTTAAAACCACTTCTTGCACAGAGGTTCCTTTGGCTCTGCCTTTGACATTCACTATAGCAAGAGGGTTCTTTTCGAAGTGCGCCTTGATCACTTTTGCTACACCACTGATGAGATTACTTCTCCCTAAAAAATAAACAGTGAAGAGCAACACTATAAGTGATCAATGAGATAAACAAGACAGCGAAACCTTTGCTTTTGGCTCTTCATCTTTCTTCAGTTGGTTTGGGTGGGGGGAGGGGAGTGGGTTTAGAGACTTCATGTTAATAGCCCAATGCTTGGGCACCAGTTCAGATGAAATTGTCTAACAGTTCTCATAAAATTAGCAAAATTCAGATAGCAGAAATCACCTACTGCAAACAGAGGGCATTTCTTCATATTCAGCGCTTGCTTCCGCAATAGAAGCCTTTCCTTGTTGGACAGACTTCTGATTCTGGACACCATCATACTTGATCCATTTTTTATTACTGATTCACGTCCTATTTGTGAATTTTGTTTGGTTTGTTCTAGCAATAAATCCTCTGGTTCGTTATTGGATAAAAACTGCTCAGCATTATTATCATTGTCCTTTGTTTCTTCCAACTGTTTTGACGACACAACAGATACTCCATCAGAAACATTATGAATATCAAATTACAAAACAGAGAGGAAGAATTCATGACATTAAAATAAAATTATTAGGATGAGATAGGCAGTCAACAATGTCATTTTCACCATGCAAACCAGTCTTCCCACTTACATAGGCCTTGATGCTTAAATATTCAGAAGAAACTAATTCATTAGAGATATCCATTACCTTAGCCTCTTGGCTGGTTTGTAGAGAATTTCCTGTAGTATCCATGCTATTAGTGATCATGGAATTTGAATCCCACTCATCTTCGTTGCTAGCCTAAAACAAATATAAAAAAACTACTTCAGACACCATATTTGAAGAAATCCGATAGTAATAAGTGGACATGAGGAACTGATAAAAGAGGCTTATTGAATTTATTGCTATAAATAATTTACATAATGATTTAAATCTTTTGCATCAGCAGTTAGTATGCAGTAAGAAGAGTACGGAACCAACAATTGCATACTGTTAAGTTCCAAGCATATTCGGAAAAAAAAACAAAACAAAGAAACCAATCTATTTGCGCATTTAAACATCTTGCTGTTACAGTTCCTGTATTCACATTGTCTATGTGGGAAGAAGGAATAGAAGAATGGAAGCAACAACCAAATCCAGTTTCAATATCTGACTTAACAAATTCATCTGGCTCAGTTCCCTTTTCTTCTTTGTCCTATATTGTGATGGAAATTTCTGATTTATTTCAGAATAACAAGTCTACAAAGACGAGGATGTCATAGATTGAATAGAAACTTATGATAACTTCCTGATATCAATCTTGCTTCAGCAACAGATTGCACACTGTACATGTCTTTATCATTGACCTGCATTACTCTTAATTTGATTATTGAATAACCTGATAATTTATTTAACAGTCACAGTCCAACCAAAAACGAGAAACCTCAGAAAACTCACCAGCTGACGCTTCATATCATCTATATTTTTGGTAAGTTTTAAGACATGTAGTTTCAGAGACTGCACAAAAATAAAAGAGTGAATAAGATGATTATATGGTCAGATACAAAAACAAAAATAGAAAACGGGAAAATATGCAACAGAAAGATAATGCACAAATTAAGGTCAAATATTAAAAACTAAACAAACAGCCCAACGAGTCAATAATAACAAATAAACATCTAAACTGAGCAAGAAGAATACCATATCCTATTATTTAGTTTACATGCATATATATATGAATGTTAATTGAAAAGCCCCATCCATCATCAAAATCTCAACCAGAAAGACAACCATCACAAACACTTGAGCACCAGTTTGCAAGTAAGAGTTTCTATAACTATTTTCCTTTTGGGGGGACAGGAAACAATGAGCTCTTTCCTTTCCTGGAGGGGCTGAAGCGCAAAATAATCTTAAGACAAGCATGGTAATTATCAGAAGTAATCTTTCACCTCTTGACGCTGTGCCTCCAGAGAGCGCTTCATTGCTTCCCTTTTATTTAGTAATGTCTGAGGCCTCAAACGAGTAGGCCGGAGATAATTCTTTCCACGATAAACAATGATTGCATAACCTTTACTCACTGTCTCCACAGCAATCAATATGCCACCACTTTCTTCTTCCAATGTCTTTGCTACTTGGCGAGCAGCTTCAATGTTTCTCTCTTTGGCAATTATTTTTACAAGTTCCCTATATTTCCAATGAAGATGCATATTTTCAATAGTTCCGTCAAACACACCACGCCTACCTGACAACAAAAAGAGAAACTGCCATTATGAGAAAGGAAAGAGATGTACACCATAATGTTTCAAGTTCAAAACTACTGCATGAGTTAGAGTAACTCACCCAGCAGTAAGAAAGGCTTCATTCTCAAGCCAACCTTCCTAAGCATATATCTTTCTTCTTCAGTTATACACTCTTTATCTACTTCAGTTGTTGGGGAATCTCCATTTTCTCGAGCTCTGCTAGAAGTTTCTCAGCCTTTGCTTTCTTTTCTAGGGCCTATAGTGAAAAACATATGAGTGACAAAATAAGATCTGGCAAATGGCAGCTAATAATAGCACCGCAATGAAGATATACCATTGACAACTTTGTGCTAGTTCTTTTAATAACTGCCTCAGGAGAACTTATTTGACTTGATACAGAATGAAGAGTTCCTTTCTGATCCTTAGTCTCCCCAACTTCTTTGTTTCTCAGCATATCACCCTCAGCAAATTCTCCAATCCGCTTTTCATGCCTTCTCCGCTCTTCAATTGCAGAAGAAACAGCAGATGGCAGGAAATCCTTTCCTCTATACAAGACAATAAATTCCCTATCTCGAGACAACAAAACTCCCCCTGTCAGCCACTGCAGAAAGAATATCTTTTATCAATAGAATTCTTCACAAATATCTTAACATAATTATCATTGGCACTAACTTTTAACTCTTCAGACATCAATTCGCTGTTAGTGTTCTGTACTCCTCTCTTAACAGCAATTTTGGCAATCTCACATCTCTCCCAGAGCTTGATAATTGCAGCAGCCAATCCATGAAGTTTTCTATTCCTACCTGGCAAACAAGGGGAAAAAGTGAAACAAACATCACGAGCAGAAAAAAAACAAGTAGAATCAAGAAGCAAACTCACCTAATGCAAAATGGCAAGGTAATGGTCGGCCAAGTCTCTTTAACGTGGTCATTTCATCATTTGTCAATTTTGGGTTCACACCAAATGGAAGAAGGCGGAATGGTCTCCTATATCCAGGAATAATAGCTGGTAGAAGGTCCGCATCAACAGGAAGAGGGTCGTATCCCCACCAGTCAGTGAATCTAGGGCCCAATCCATCCAATAAATGGTCAGCTTCCTCTACTAATTGAGCTTCGCCTGGAAGTTGAAACCGTAGCTTATTTGGAGAACCAACACCTTGAATTAATCTGGGTTGAGCTGTTTTATCACTTGCACTTGGTCCAGAAGCTTTTACACCCTTTGTTCCAGGCAAGCTGCTTTCCATCTTTTCCATTTCTCCATCATCCAATTGTTTATTCAGTAAGTCATTTGGTAGAATTTCTTTTGTAGAATCTCCATCACATACGAAGTAAGGATATTTATATTTTGCTCCTCTATACAGTATTATTTTACTTCCAGACCGCCAAACAACTAATCCTCCAGTTTTCCTCTGAGAAGGCAAACAGGAAAACAAACATCAGTCTCTAACCCCTTAGGACTAACTAAAAAAGCACAAGCCTTAAAGCATGAGTTTTTGCTCATACTATTGTAGAATTTTTGGAATTTGAGAAAGCTATCATGATTGATGGCAAGTAAAATAAAATGTATGTTTCAGATTGGCCAGTTTTACAAATGTACAGTATATTAAAGATTTTGAATAGACATTTTAATTTTTTAGGGTTATGCTATATCAGATGGGACATGTTATTTCTGAAAATATAAATAGCCAGTTGCGTCAAAAAATGACTTGACAAAGAGTTCAGTTGCTATCAAGTAGACAGAATATCTGCATATTTAAAGAGTCTGATAACAAGAAATAGCTCCAACTGCCAAAAATCTAGCTGAATCTTAGCCCAGATTGTAACAGATGATTAGTGTTGGAAAGTGACAAGAATTCCACATTAATGGAAATCCTGGTCAAAGTTCTTCCTGATTCTAGCATGATGCCCTTTCCACTTAGAATCCTTGATTCTGTGCTGATTTAGGCTAGTTTGATTAGATATTTTTTCCTAGAATATCTCCTAAATTTTCTTTGTAAACGTATATAGGATATACAGACTAAATCAGAAAATTTTATTCAACCATTCTGATTTCATAGAATTAGAGCCAGGTTTCTTACCAGCTCAATAAAACCTAAGATGGTAACCTTTTTTCACTGCAACCATGTCTGGTACAAGTCAACCATCATCCTCAGAAGAATAATCTACTATTTTTCCAAGGAAAAACGGTAGTATAATATTCTTTTCTTCAACAGAGGTAAATCATTCACTGCAAATCATCCACCACAGATTGAATGGTCAAATTTCTTTGTGATTTCAATCTATGTTGTTAGTCATCCGAGGAAAAGGGAAAGAAGATGGCGACTCCCTTCTTCAGTCAAGATCAGCAGCAACCACAGGTCATGGGAAATCGAGAATTCTGTTGTTGTGGCCTGGCTGATCAACTCCATGGAACCACACATTGGATGCACTTATATTTTCTACAAGACAGCAGACAGAATTTGGAAAGCAACTCAGGAGATGTACACTAACTTTGAAAACTCATCCCAATGCTTTGAGATTTAATAAACTCTCTGGAATAGAAATCAGGGTACAAAACCCGTAACAGAGATGGATTTATTTTATGCAATTACATTGAAGTGTATTAATGATGAGATACTGTACAATCAGGTACTTGAGAAAAACCGTGTCTTTGATTTTCTTCAGTAAACAAGGAATTGGATGAAGTACGTGGGAAAATCCTTGGAACCAAAACCGTTGCCATCACTTCGAGAAGCCTTCTCAGAAGTTAGATTGGAAGAAAGCAGGAAGACGGTGATGTTAAGTGTGACCTCGTACACAGGGCCTAAAAGAACTATCACAAGGTTCTGCATTCAACACTACTTACTCAAACTCCT